CAATGTTCTGTCCTGAGGCTAAATAAGTTTTGTCCAGTGCTCTGAAATAATTATAATCAGTATTTATCTTTGACAAAACTTGAAGGCCAGAATCATATATCAAAGCCCAGTTCTGAAATGTAAAATACACTAATTTTTTACGTAAAGTAAGAAAGCTATGCATTTGAGAGATAAGGTGAATACAAAACAGATGAGTAAATCCCAAGGTAACAGTGAGATGATAATGGCTATTGTAATAAGCAATGTTACTGCACCTCAACTACTTGGTTATGATTAAACTAATTTAATAACTGCTACCATGCTAAGAAAATGAATTAATAGCAGAATGGTAGTTTATTGTCTTCTCTCTTCTGTAATTTACTCAGCACCAAAGTATTTATTAGAAACGTATTTAATGTGTACTCATTTTTGGTCATGCCATATGTTCTTCTACTTATGATGTAATAATTTGTGTTTTTTGTTTTATTTTTTTTTTTAAGTGCTGAATAAAAAGACTAAAGCTGAAAGTGGAAAAAGTCACTAGATATCAGTGCTGAATGAGATCAATTTCATAGGAAGAAATTCATGCTTCTAATGAGAAGTTTGCTCTAATGAAATGAAGGAGATCAAAGCTGATAGAAAACAAAGCTTTGTAATGAAACAGTGATTTAAGAAGCCTGGGACACTCATTTTAGTTTCCTTGTAAGATAGGTTACTTGCCTTACTGTTTGGTATTGTTTATGCTGGTGCCTGTACATGGTTTTGATTATATTAATTAGATTATTGGCCAAATTCTAAACTGTTGTAAATCAAAATTGCTCTTCTGACTCCAGTGAATGACAGTGACTTATACCAGCTGATGATCTACCCTGCAATGTCGTAGAAACACAGAATAAAGATTTTGCGAAACTTCTAAAATTTTGCTTGTTTGTGAAAATGTTACAATTTGCTGCAGTTTTGTAAATGGATAGAATTTCTTGCTGTAAATACTTTAATTAGTATTATAAAATGAATTGAAATTTAATTAAAGATGAAAAAAGCACAGTGGAAATTTTTAAAGGATATAACCAGCAAGAAACACTCCCAGATTTAAATGACATTTTAACAGTAATCTGAACCAACATCTGAAACGTGTTATATAATTTTAAACATATACTAAAAATTATTTTCTTCCATCTTAGAGCAAGTGCAGACTCAATAGTTGTTCCAAAGCATTTAGTTATTTTTCCCTCAATCTCTAGACATAAACAAACAAGAATGCTAATTAAAAATGTTACTTCAGGCAAGAATCTTGTCAAAGTAGTTAAACAGGGTTAGACTCAATCATCAGAGGTACGGCAACCTCTAGAGAAAGCATTCATTGTGTAAATACATTGCATTTATTCAAACACTTATTCTTCTACAGTTTAAAACCAACATTTGAATATATTATTGAAAAAGATTACTTTTGTTCTTAACAAGACAAACAAATGTGTGTTCACTTATTTTACATTCTTATTACATACACTCTTTTAATGTATATAATGAACATGACACTTTTCCAAAATACATTTATGATACCAAGTAGCTGAGCAGGCTTTATTGGAGATTGTTGTACCCTTAATTCCTTAGATTTTCCCTCTTTCTCAGAGACTGTTGTCAGTGGTGTTGTTTGCAGTTTCTCCCCTATGACTGCAGTTTTACTAGGGTTTATGAAATGTCCAGTACAAAAGAGAAAAGGTAAACTTGATTTCTAGACGGACATCAGACTAGCTTGTATGCAGGCGCAGTTAACATGGTAACAGTCTGGCTCTTAAGTTCTTTAACAGAAAGAACGCAAGTTCAACAGGTTTTACCTGGGTAAATCTAAAGGGTTGGAAACCAAAAGCATTTCTCAGGGTCTGAATCTGGCTACACATACCTCTGGTGTTCCACAAGAAGGTGACCTAGTCATTTGAGCAGGGAGAAGTGGGGTGCTATCACAGCCTGGATGGTCAACAGGCCAGAACTTCAAGGAACATCATGGGGGCACCTGCTTTGAAGTTTAGATACAACCAGTGAGACCTGTTAGACTTCACCATGGAAAGCATTTGTGTATGTGAACAGTCCAAAATGACAAGAACTGATGCCTCTTGAATGCAAGAGAGCTCCACTGAAGAAGAAACGCCCTGTTCTGCCAACCCACTGAGACCTGTGACACTATTGAGGCCTCCATGAAAATGAGTAAAATCCCTAGGGAAGGTGATCAATTTATGGCTACTCTATTCCAGTGACACTCACTAACCCTGAAAGGTCTTCAGAGAGACAGAGAAGCTGAGAGTTTGCAAGGGCAGGTAATGGATACAGTCTCTGCCAGAACCCAGATGGACCCATCAGGATTCACAGGAACACGCGGCCTGAGACACAGCACTCATGTACTTGCTCTGCACAGAGCCCAGTCCATTGCTATCAGAAGCAATACATAATCCAGTTTACAAATGTAATATCTTAATCTGAACACTTCTTTCTATTTTGCTCATATGAAGAAGAAGCTCCTGAGTCTGAATAAACGCTACCAGCTTGAAAATTTACTGATAGTGTATATTTATTTACTATTTCATTCTAGGTGTCTCTGGCAAACTCTTTCTGCTATGTCTACACACTGAGGGGAAAGCTCCTGCAGAGAGAGCGTGTGGGACCAGGTTCGTGATGCTCTGGATTTGGTTTGGATGGTTTTCTTCTGATAAACAGTGTTAATGTCTCAATGGTTCTGCAGAACTGCCATTAGTTTATCACCTGTTAATTTGTCACTTAATTGAGTATAGTGTTACATATTCTCTCACTTTCTATTTTTGCATTATATTTTTAACCTGTATAAAAAAAAAATGTCGGTTTGACACAGTGAAATGATGAAGAAGTGCAAAAGGAGCAACAGTAAAGTTTACCATTCAAACAGATCCTCAGATATTCTGTAATACATGCTAATGCAGTCAAGGTAGTCTACTTCATATTCAAGACAACAGTCATTCAATAAGTTGAAACTTTTCATAGATGACTTGCATCCAACATAATTTTGAGTAAATCTATCTAGAAAATTATCAGGTTATACTGTATTTTTTACTTTCAAAAGCTTTGTTTCAATGTGTTTGAAATAAAATAAAAACCATTTCACTTTATTTCACCTCCTATTTTTTCCTTTTTGGGTAATATACCTACAAATTAATATAAAAATATGATATTACAAAAAGCCAAAGCTGACTTCATAGTAAAATAAGTATGTCCATATACTCAGATAACTAAGTGAAATTTAACTGTAATGTAAAGAGGATCTGTATGGACAGTGTAGCTCAATATGCAAGTTCAAATGAACTTGCGTCCTTCTGTAATTTATGCTTTTCTTTTTAAGACAATATGTCCTCATGTTTTTCCGAGAATGGATGTATAACTTATTCTTTTGGGCACTGATCCATTTGATACATTTCCTGATCTGCCCTTGTGTTGCTGGAAAACTTATCCCAAGATGAAAGCTCAGTTTGTGTAAGAAATAAAATCAATTCAATTGGACATAGATGACTGTTGCACAAACACAGGTATACTGTGTTCCACACAAATGCTGTCATCTATCAGTATCATTTAGAAGCAATCAAATAAACTCCTTCTAGTGGACCAAATTTCTAGTGGGTATATTTACGTAACATTTGCACTGAACTTAGAACAGCCTGAACTCTGTATAATGTTTCAAATAGGAGTGCTAAAATGGTGCATTTCTTTCTCATTGAGCTAAGACTTTATGTTTCTGGCAATGGTTTGGGGAGATAATGTACTTGTTAGCCAAAAAACCCATTCAGAAAATAACCTTACTCCTACTTTGATGTAGAAATGTAACAGCAGAGTTCTCTAGGAAGGGATATGACCCATCTTACTTTTACATGCTATATTCTTTTTTCTTCCTAACGTCAAAGATGCTTATCTTAGTGAAAGGATTGTATTTTCCTTCTTTTCTTTCTAGGCTACCCTCAAGATGAATGAACTTTATCTTTCCAGGACGCTAAAATTTCTATTTAAAATGTGAAATCTTGTTGAGTCCCAGGGTTAAGTGCATGGTTTCAAAGTTGATACGACGCTTCGAACATATGGCTCTCTTATTTCTAGCTATATTTAACATTCTTTTATCTTGAAACATTTTGCTCAATTTCTCAGAAATGCCATTTGTTTAAAAAAAACCTTTTTGAGAATCAAGTCTCCAGCAGGACTATCTCTTTCCTCTATTTATATACAGGACACAATCCTGGCAACAATTTAACTCCAGCAAGTTGGAGAAATTCCACCTGGACTAAGTGTCCCACAATCAAATTGGCTGTCTGTTCCAAAAGATGGTTCACTGTCAGACAGCAACTGAGAGAATGTTGCCTTTCTCTTTATATCAAGGGAAATAAAATCAGGTATGAAAAAATGTTACCTCAGGGGGGTGGGCCTACATTAATCCACTTGAAGCTTAGCCTTGCTCTCAGAGTGCTTTACATTACAATTTTTTTTTAAAGCATCTCAGGCTAGACCAGGATTCCTACTGAATCTGTCAATAGTACACTTCACTCTAGACTACACATATATTTCATTAATACTTTGTTTAAAAGTCCACCACTCCCAGACATTTGCCTATTAAATATTTCATTTGAGGGATCAGGACCTATGAGATACAAAATCTAAATCAGCTCAACAGAAAATATTTCAGTGTTTCATAGTTACTTAGACAAGAAATACTAAAATTTATTTTTGAGAACCATGCTACTTCCAATATCATTAGGAAAGAACCAATCCCGAGTGAACATGAAGCAGTCTGAGAACTACAATAATGCAAACATGTACAAACTTGACTTTAACTATGACTGGTTCAATTTCTATTAATTAAAATGCTCAATTGAGCAATCTGGATTAGATCCAGAGCATTCACCCCTAAGAAAAGGCAATACCTGTTGTCTTATAGGTGCATAGTAATATTACATAGCAAGATAAGGCTACCTGATCTATTAAAATTACAAGGCACAAGTCTTGAAGATACTTACAATTAGGATGCTCTTTAAAAAGCAGAATTAAGTGTCACCTACTTCTTATCCTCTGAGTCTCACATCCAACCAGTTCTGCACAAGAAGAAAATGAAAAAGTTTAAGGTTTTAAAGAAAAAGGAGGTATCCAATCCAGGCTAATCAAACACATGGATGTAGCAGCACTTTCCCTGCTTGCAGATCCCAGGTGAATAGTCTAGTCACCTCCTAGATACCTTCTCTATCAGTTATTTCAAATTCTCCTATTAAGTTTTTAATTTGTAATTTCTACAACTATGTAGAAATAATGTAGAATTATTGTGGAAACTGGAACAGAGAATCAAGATGTGCTTTCATATAGGAGGGGATAATCCTAACCTTTTGCACTCTAGTGCAGAGACAGCGCTCTTAGTCCAATCACTGTAATCTGGATACAATTACCTTTTTTTTTTCAGAAAATATTTATCTTTAAGGAAACTAAGAGGATTGTATGAACTTTAATTTTTTAAGGAGATGATATTTTCTGATGAAAGACATTTTTCTCAAATGATTCTTAATTTTGCTCTACAAAAAGTAGCTTTGTCACGAGGAAAGGTAGCTATAGCAAATTATCTGTTTAAGTGTGCTGCACAGCCTCTTACTTCCTGGAATGTTCCACTGAGTTTAACAGAAATACTCTACTGGAGAACTACTACTCAGCATGAATAAATCTGTCTGCCATGTATCTGTCATGATCAGCTAAGATCAGTGATCTTTGGGACAGTGTATTCCACTACAGCCTTCTTACAGAATACCCAAACTGTGGAAAATAGCACAGAACCTTACAATAGCTACAGGTAAACAACTAAGATTGCTTTTCTAGTACCATTACGTCTATTACACTCAAGTACATTAAAACTGAATAATAATAATAATAATTTTTAAAAATTACAAATAAAAGCCTAACATTGTAGCCTAAGGCTACAATGGCATAAAAAATATGATAGACTATTGTGATGATAGTTCAAAAGGGACATAATTTAACTGTGAGATTTAAGTCTGTGCTGCTACTACTTTTATTAAATGGTAAATCTATACGTTGGAGAGTTCCGATCATGAAATATATTAGAATTTACATTAAGGGGAGATTACTACTCATAGGCAATACTATTCATAAATGATATCTCTTATGCAATGTATACACTACCAGAATTATTTAAAGGAGTGCTGATACTGAGAAATTAATATTGATTAAAAGACAAAAACAATCCCCAAGAAAACCAAGCATTGAAATCAGATTAAAACATTAAATAAAAGAATGAACAGTACCAGTAACTTGGAATACCACTTCCTAAGAAACACATACAGTAGCAAAATCTATTTTAATTGCATATGGGGACTTTGCCTGGATTATGCCCAGGCACATGACAAACCACTACCAAGTCCCCTGTTGGGAGTAAAGGACAAAAAGGGCTTTTACTTGGCTTGTTGCCACTTTTCTCAGCAGCAATAAGTAAGTCCCTAGTCACAAAACAAGAGTCCCCCCCACAAGCCAACCACCCCCTAGGGAGGCTCTGGCTGGCAGCAGTTCCAGCAGCTCCAGCTGCCCAGTGCCCAGCACTGGGGGCTGCCAGCCCTTCTCCTTGGCACCAACTAAACTGGGGTCACCACTTGTCCTTTCTAATTACCTCTCCTCCTCATTGCTCAGGATCACCTTCCTTTTAAAAGCTATTGCATAGCAAAGGGAGGCTGTTTAAGACTCCAAGTAATGAAACATTCTCCTGATTATGGAGCAGTCATATTTTATGTTTTAGAATGATACACGATCTCGTTGCCTCTGGCAAGAGCAAAATCATCATGAGTAGGCACAGAGTAATCAATGGTTAAATGACTAAATAAAGGACAAAAACTGTCACTGGGGCCCAAGCAAGGGTTATAATAAAGGATCTGGATGGCTTCTAATTCCTTAAGAGCCCACAAGGCTTAGAGCTCCTATGGGAAGTGAGCTGTTTAGTTCTCATAAGCACTCAACTAGTGTACTTTGAATATCTCACAGATGTCAGCAAAGATTGATCATAAAATCAAGAGATCTTGTCAGTTTGGTGAACAGAGGACCAGAAACAATTTCAGCTACCCAGAAACTCTCTTTTAATGACAAATGGAGGAACAAGCAATAGAAGAGATCATTTGCAGTATGCATTTTCCAATACATTTTTATGTATCTTTACAGACAAGGGAAGGAGTTAAACAATTCAGTGTCACTTGCCATCGTGATACTACTATACGGACTTAGCCTCCCTCTACCTTATGAACTCTTAATTTGATCACACAATTGCTCAAAATAACATTTTTTTCAGTTTCCCCTACTCAGCAGCTAAATGCCACACAGCCACTCACCCACCCTCCCCCCACTTGGGAATGGGGAGGGAATCAGAGGGGCAAAGGGAGACTCACAGTTTGAGATAAAAACAGTTTAATAATAGTAACAGAATAATACACTGACAGCAATATCAGTAGGTAATGTACAATACAGCTGCTCACCACCCGCCGGCTCCCGGCCAGCAATCCCAAACACAAAGGCCCCACAGCCACACTCCCAGAAGTGGCAGCCTCTCCCAGCCCTCTCCTGCCTTTATATGGTGAGCACAATGTCACATGACATGGAATATCTGCCAATCCCGGCCCAGCCCTCCAGCTGTGCTCCCCCCGCCCCCACACACAGGTGAGGGCACTGGGACCTGGGGAGCCCCGGGGGTCTCAGGGTGCTGCAGCACTCCTCCAGCTACTAAAACAAACAGGAACTCTAGTCCAGCCCCACCCAGGACAACCACACAGATGTTGAACTAATGCCTAATAAGGAGGGTTTATTGGTACATTATTCAACATTCCGTATACTTGCATTGGAACCTGTTCTATTTTCCAGTGCAAAACTAAATCTTTCCTGGCTTAAATAGAGAATCTTATCTTTGGCTAGGTATTATATAACAATATTGTTACTTTTTTTTTTTTTTTTAATGAGTTTTTTAACTACTCTCAGCACAACCCTATTTGCCTTCCTTATAGCACTATAATGGTTTTAGAACTTTTAAGATTTATAGTTGTTCTCCAAAAAATTTAGCAATATCATCTTGACAGAAGATAAATAAAACAAAGGAAAATTATTATATGACTTCTAGATACATCAGAAATAACATATCAAGACCATTAAAAGATTTTTAGGTTTATCATTTACCTATTTTTATAGTAATCTAGATTTTTTTTCTGCATTTTTATCACCACTGCCCACTGAGAAAACAGCTGAATTGAACTACCTATACTTTCACTTGGAATTACGTCTGAAATGTTTATAAATAGCTGACACACACCTTTTCAAAGTGCCTTGAAAAAGCAATGCACATTTGTTTAAGAAATATTTAAACTCGTTAGCATAACAAACACTGTTTTATATATGTAATCCTATCTAGATCATCATTGCATTGGCTTCAGATAGGAAAAGCTATTACACGCAATATTTTCATAACTACAAGAAAAATATAATAGAAAAGCTGTAGGTTGTATTTCTCTGCTGTAATTAATAACATACACAACAGAAGTAAAGTTAATTCCTTCAAATATTCTTGATCTCACTGTTGTATTTTATGCATTTGTCTCAAAGTGTCAAGAACAATTTCAATATCAATAATAAAATGTGAAAATAAAAGTTAAGAATAAAACTAGACATCCCAGGAGCTACAACTTTAATGGAAAGAAGGATGAGGAACCAAAGAAAAGGCCCACACACTTACACAAACACTGTCATCTCTGGCTGGTTAAATTGTTCTTCAAAAGGGAATAGCACACAACTTCAGAGTAAGTGTTCTTTGAAAATGAATCAGTTCAGGTCTTACACAGCAATGTTAATGTAATGTACCCCAAATACATGCATTTAATTGTTTTTGTAATAATATATCCTGACTCCAAAAACAACACTATGCCCAAATATTTAAGAGACTTTAAATATGAGCAATTTTTTAGGGTTATTTTTTGAGGACTTCCTTAAAGTGCGATTTTTCCAGTTTCTCTGACTTTTTTTTCTTTAAATGGCATCCAACCTCCAAGGCAACCTTAATAAAGTCAATGAAATTATACAGGTGGAAAGGACAAAAATGTGCTCTCTGGATTTCAAATAGTGGCAACATTGGTCACACCATTACGCCTGACACAAGAACCTTTTAATTTAAATGTAATCTCCGAAAGACCAAATTACCAGCAACATGTTCTCATTAATTCCTGCAAGGGATGCTCAAGCTTTGACCCCTTATTGTTCTCCTTATCGAGAAGTGGCTGAGTCATAGTATTAATAAGCCATCACTCATTTAAGTGGTCATTCACTGCTGGGCGGGGAAAAGATAGGCTCATCCTTTTGAAGTGGGAATAGGCAAGCAAGGCTGCTGTAATAGGCTGTGATTATTTTCACTATGAATGCTCCCCCAGCTTTCAAAAATTAAAAGGAGCACTCATTTTCCTGCTTGAGTATTTCTCACACTGGCAAAAAATGAACACTTTGAAATGTAAATGATTTAATCTTTGCAAACCCCTGCTTCAGAGGGAGGTACAGCTTCATTTACAAAATGAAGACATTTTAGGAAATGATTATCATTGTAAAATTGAGGCCAGCGGGGAGTCTGAGTTCAAACTCTTAGAATATCAGCAGTGTAACAAGTTTGATCTTCCTTACTGCATTGCTTGCATTTGCTTCTCTGGGTTCCAGCAGAGAGCCATTGTCAGTCAGAACTTGTTCCCACTCGTTTCCCTTGGTTAAATAAAATAGTTATGCTTATTATTTAGAGTTAGTCAGTCCAATAAAATTCAGGGCAAGACTAAAAATAAAAAAGGAAGTTCAAATTTATTTTGATTAATGTATTTGCTATGTGAATAATCAACTTAAAACAGTAAAAAGTTGACAGCACTGAAGGCAATCTTTTTTTTTTTTTTAATGCATAGTTCGGGCAGTAGCATTGGGTAGTGTTACTATACTGTCCTACCAATGTTTGGGAAGGAGACCACCCATAACAGTGAGAGCATATTTAATTTAAAATTTAAACATTAAGTCCTTAATCTCTCTTCTGTAACTTCCAAG